GTATCTCTAAATCCGATAATTCCACTGTTCACTATAAAAGTAAAAATTAGAATGCCATTAAATATAAAATATAGTATACAGTTCATGCGGTTGTAATAATTTAGAAAGGTTTACTTAATAATCATTAAATATAGTCTCTGAAACCAGAATAAGACACACACTTCCAACCCCAAGGCCAATGTAAATCACCTACATAGTACAAATAAGAAAAATGAAACAAAGTTAAGATAATCTGCCAACCCTCTTAACACAAATGGGATGACTGATAGTTGTAAGAGACTCTTTGAGTAGAGATTACCACTATTTACTAGTCATTTGGATCAGATGAGTTTACACAAAGCCAAAGGATGGAATATTTCAGTGTTTCAGATCATTCTTAATAAGGCCTAAGGTTTTTTTGTAGTTGCTATTTGTTTTGTGAGTGGGAATATATTTTTTTTAATAGGGCATAGGGATTTTTTTAAAGATTTATTTTATTTATTTATGCATACAAGAACTGGGTGTAGGCCAAAGGTGCATGGGTGAGAGGATTCACCAGAGACAGTAGGGAATAGTACAGGCTGAACTACTAAAATATACTACTGAGGGGAGCAGGAGATGAGACAGAAGAGGTCTGCTGTGCCATGTGGGTTAGCTCCCTGGCCGGGGGTTGCACTCATGCTGCAGTGACTGGCAACAGCTTGATAAAGCTGACTTTAACCCCTGCACCACCAGGAAGGCGCAGTCTAGGATTTTTAATGGCTCTTTTTTTCTGTGCACCAGCAAATTGGGCTGATGACATCAATAAGTTATTGCCATTTACACAAATACCTGTTGTGAGACCCAGTGGCTGTGAGGGCACTACTTTACAAGTTGAGCATACTACTTTCCCCAAAGGCATTACATTACACTTGCCTATACAGTTCTATTATGCCGATTGCCAGTCCAAACTTACGCCACTGTCTCAGGTACCAGTTTGTTCCTACTGGCATTATACATCCCCAAAGAGCTTAGTGTTATCTGTATGTGTAAACCTAGTGTTATCTACATGTATATGTGAACATTACACTATGTCTATAGTCTCTCCCAGATCATTCATAAAATACCCAAAATAAAATGAGCCTCTGAGTGCATGGGAGAAGGATCTGTATCTTGTCTAAGCTGGTTTCTTATTAGGGACAAAATGTTGCCATGTCTTCAGCCCACATCTAGTCAGGGAGCACCACTGCTGTGTAACACTCAAGAAAAGGCCATCTACTTAAACGGCAGAAAAATTTTAGCTCATAATAGCCACCAAGAGTCTAATATGTATCCCACCAGCAATTGTCTTTGGAGTCACAAGTAATTTCCTCATACATAAGCATATATCAGTATATATATTATTTCTTCATACATGAGTGTGCCAGGAGTATAGGTACAATAACTGACAACAGATAGATCCTTAGAGCACATAACATAGAGATCTTCCAGAGAGCATTCAGACCCAAAATGATAACATTCAGACCCAAATGGTTAACAAAAGGAAACAAGGGCTAATTATTAACATGAAAGCTCAGCCTCATCAATAGAGAAATGAATCATAAAGCAAAGATACCATTCTTTTACATATAAGGTTACCAAATAAAATTAATTTTAAGTATTTAAAAGACTAGGTACAAAAATTGACTTTTTTTTTTTTAAAAAAGCTGTTATGGCAAATCTTTATAATGTTCAAACCTTTGGATGAATAACTATAATTTTGAACTCTATAAAGAACTCAAAATAAACAATAAAAATGAAATGAAAGGCATTCATTACATAATTTAAAACATAAAAAGAAGTTAAAATACTTTCATACATACAAAAAAAAATACCATGAAGTCAATACATGACAATTACAAAGAACGTTTAACAGGGAAAAATACACCCTATGTTAAAAAGTGCAGTATAAAATAGTACACTTATCTGATCAACTGTAGAAAAATGCAGAGAAAATAAAAACCGAACATTATTTTTTAACATATATACCTGAGTAGGAAAATTATGGTTCTTTCCCCTCCCATATTTGATGGTTATCGTCAAAGCTACAAGGGATATTTACCAAATTTCTAGATTGAGGGAACTATTTAAATTTAAACATGGAAAAAAAAAACCACAAACAAAAATTAAAAAGCAAATTAAAAGGCAAAAACAATCCACAGCATGTATTTATAACATTACAGAAATCTAAGTAACAGTCTTCTTTACACTGAAATAGAAAATAATAATAAACGCTAAGGCAAAACTCCAACAGATCAATCAGTATAACACATGAATTAACATCAAGTGAAAAGAAAATAAAATGAAGCAGCATGGTGGAATTAAAAAGAATTCTAATAACCAAAGACACAAAATTATAATGTTTTTTTTATCCATAAAATAAAGTTTAAACATCACTAAATGTCTGAGTGAGTTAAAATCAGTACAATCTTTCCAGGAGGAAAATTGGCAATACATATTGAGAGTTTAAAATGTTCACACCCTTTGACATAGCAATTACACTTCCATGAATCTATCCTAACCAAAGAGTAAAAAAAAAAAAAAATGTATTTCCAGTTTAAGGGGAAAAAAAAACCAATAAAATTTCCTTTATTATTGGACATTTGTACTAATTATGGGTTAAAAAAAATCTCTAATGCAGGCAATAACTGGCTGTCTCAAAGCATTAGAACAGATCTCAAATCAGGCAAAACAAGAAGGGTGTGTCCAGCCTGCCGCAGTCGGCCATTTTAAACCCTCCGCAGAACAAAAAGCACAGAAGGGTAGACACGGGTGGTCACCACTGGACTCCAAGTCAACCATTCTTTACTTTTTGCCTTCTACACATATAATCCAGTACTATGCAATGAATAAAAGACAGCAAATAAGTTTCCTTTCCTTTCTTTACAAGCAAAAGCTGAAACCATAAAAGAAGGGTCCTTTAAATTTGCCCCCTCATTTTAGGAGGTAAAAATATAAGAGCACAGGATTCTGGAGATATAATCCCCGGATAAAAGTCCAGTCTCAGTCATTCAACTGAACATAAAGCCTTGAACAAATTACTTAATCTGTGTACCTCAAATTTCTCATTTGTAAAAGGTGAACAATGGTACTGCTGCTATTCTCTAAGATTGCAGAGAGTAGTAAATAAATTAAGGCAAATGTTAAAGCCTGTAGGTGAGTTCCTGACAAAGTTTAAGCGCTAGAGACGTTTAAGTACAACTATTACTATAGGTAGAGTAGAAGACCCTGAGAAGTTTTAAGTACCAGCATGAGATCACAGGTAGGACTGCTGAAAAGACCTGTAATCTCAATTTTGAATCCTGTGTCTTTTTTTAACGACACATCTAAGGGCTGAGTTACCAGTTTCCGAGATTAAACAATGGACCCTCATTGGCAGCCCGCTAAAAGCCAAGACAGTACAGCAGACCAAAACAAAACAAAACAAAACATAAAAGGCTGTTTGCAGAAACCAGCGTGAGCCGAGATCACCTTCATTAATTACTATTTGCCCAAAGCGCAGGTTTAAAGCAAAATACATGTATTTTGAAAAGCGGCCAAATTCTGACCCCAAGGGGAGTAAAAGCAAAGGTTTCTCTGAGCAGCATCACCAGTAGATTGTCACAATATTGCAATCACTGTGCTCTGCTATTCTGATGGGATGATAATGTGTCCAGAGCCACGTACAGCGGGTCAAGATCTTCTAGTATGACATAAAGTCCTACAAATGTGTATTGCCCAAAAGTGAACTGTCTCTAAGTGTTCCCGTTAGATGCATCTCCTACAGACAGCTGCAGCAGTCTTTTATAGAGTCATCATCGCCTCTGCATCTTTAAGCCACATATCGATAGGCCGGTGAGAGGCTAAGATTTTGAGTTAATTTTTTGGTGGATCTGGCCACAGTCTAGGAAAACCCCACCTCAGTCTGATCCCTTCGCCCAATTAGAAAGGTAGATTTTCTCCTCCGCAGACCCTCCTAGTCCCAAATGGCTAAGCAAATACAACTTACCTCCCCCCTCGCCATTTTGCAATCATAATTACACGTATGCCGCGCGCCTCCCCGCACACCCCCACCCGCCCCGTGGGTTCGCCTGAAATACGCATGCGCGCCTCCCTGCACACAGCCCCCCACCCGTTAAAGCCAACCGTCACAAAGTCGTCTCAAATGCGCAGGCGCATTTCACTTGCACTCGCTGAGGCCAACTAGTAGAATTTTGCTTTCTTAAATACGCATTCAACCGCAGCCACCGCCCCCCAACCCCGGTCCGGCCCCCACGTCTGGAGCACGCGTCTCTCCCGCTCTCCACTACTGGGTCCCCACCCGCTCCCCTGGCCCGCGGCGTCCTCACATCTGTGTTTCTCGAATGTACCTGCGCGGGCCACGCCACTTCCAGGCTCTCAAATTTATAAGCGCGCCACGCCGGTCCTCCCACCTCCGTTTTAAATATATACGTGCCTGATATATCTGGTCATGTTTCTCGCCACAGCTGTGCCCCGTGCTCAAGTAGAGCCTTTCCCACTTTCCCTGGAGGGGGGTAGGTGTGATAAGCTAGGCAAGTGGGATACGGGAACAAGGCCGTAGCAAGGGATCCGAGCAGATGCCGAATCTAGCTGTAACCCGCCGGGACCCCCCCCCCCCGGAGGGGATAGAGTACCTTCGGAGTCCGTGTGAGACGCACCACCTTGAACAAAGGCAAAGAAAGCTCCATAATCGGTTGAGTCTAGTCCTAAAGCTCTGTCCTTTAAATATTCGTTCTTTTACAAGTGGGGAACTCCAAAAATTTTAAACAAAATGTTTGGGAAAATACCGACTACGCTCAGGTGCCTCAACCCTGGCTAGAGGAAAGGAATCTATCCCTTTTACAATGGGAGATAAATGCTCAACATCCTTTCGTAGGTGCGAGGTCCCTACCGCTCCCCAAGTCTTCGTCTCGTGAGCGTGGAGAACACACAAATTAAGGATCTCTCTGCCCTGAGTTTCTTCCGCCGCCCTCCATGTTCTTCCCCCTACATCGTTCCTTTACCTCCAGGTTGAATGGAGCGTCGTAGCAAGAATTCTTGGCGCCTGCAGTCCCAAGATAGGGTGGAGGCAGCGGCGGCACGGAATCCGCGGCGCCAACACAGTAGCAGCAGGTCAAGGTGGCAATGGAACGCCGGCAGCGGACTAGCGGTGCCTCAAGCCGCAGCTGTGATGCAAGGAAAGGACTGCCTCTCCCAGATCGCCGCAGTATGCTGCCAGCGCATGCGCTGAGCACGTCCCCCTCCCCCCACTGCACCCCCTCCTCTAGAGGTGCACAGGTCCCTAACCCTGTGTGCTCCTTCCACTTTTCCTCCCTTAGGTCGCACGGGCCTCCGCCACCACACCACACTCCGTCAGCCCCATCCTTCAGTAGTCAACCCCTTTCCCACTCTTCTCAGTCCACCGTTTATTTCATTAACAAGCTCCCATCCGCCGCCTTTACTCACTTTGTTGTCCTTATGGCCTACCCTCCCATTCTTGGTCTTTCCTGCCTGTCTGCAGCCCTCCTGGGTCTCTTACTCTTCTCGTATGCCAGATGTTGCAGATTGTAAGAAGTACTGCAAAAATGTTATTTAAAAAGAATATCCATACAGTAGTCTCCAAAGTAGCTCTCAAGTAGTTAGCGTTGAGCAAATCAAACAGCTGATGGATAACACACCTATTGCAAAAACCCAGAGACAGGGAACCCAAAGCTCCCATGCACAGAGCAGAAAGCCTTCGCTTATTTTTGAATGTTTGATTACATTGGGAACAAGAGGTGACACGCAACTTTTTCTTTCTCTTCACAAACCTGGTATTGTCTGGACGTTAAAAAAGAATGTTAAAAGAGTCCTTCGCTGCTAAATACAAGGCTTGTTCCTGTGTTCTTGTCTTCTTCTAGCAACTAAAATGTCAATTTTAAGAGAAGTTGCCCTTTTGATTCAGCAGACTCTGAAATAGATTCCTTTCTGGATGTAAGCAGGGGAAAATAAAAAATAACATTTTCTATCTCTGTATGATGCTTTACTCTGGCATCTGGTTCTTACTGCTTTCAAAGCAGACCAGAAAACCGATGTGTGCATCATCGTCCCCTCTAACTTGTTAAGAATGTCATACTAACATTATTCTGAGAAATGATGGACGTTTGTATTTTACATAACATACACTAAAAGGTTATACAACAAGGTGCAATATGCAGAAGATAAAAAGAGATAACTAGGGCCCTCCCTGTTGGCGCAGCGGGTTAGGGGGCAGCAATGAGAAGCTAAGGCCACGCACGCATGAGTTCGATCCCCGCCTGCCCTTGAGGTGACCCACATGGCCTGGCAGACCTCTCCTGACCCGCCCACTGTTCCCCTCAGCAATGTACCTTGATGATCTGCCTGTTCTGCTCCCCACTCTGTTCCTGGTGAATCCTCTCACCCTCCGCATCTCTGGCCTGTACAACAGTTCTATATGAATAAATAAATAAAACTTAAAAAAAAGAGAGACCTAATGCCTATTAAATACCTTTGTGTTCTTTTGATTTTTTTTGAAGTATGTAAAGTTTCAACAACAGCACTTTTATAGATATAATAATATGTTGTATTAATTATACCTATTCCATAGTTTTAATTATCATTTTACATAAAATTGAGGTCAGCACATAATTCTTGCAGAGGTGTTACTTGCTCTTTCCACTTCTCTTCCTTTAAGCAAAACATCCCTAGTCTATTATGGTCCCATCTGAAGAGAAATTCAAGAGGCACAGCTTATAGATATTAAATCCCATAAAATGCTTAGGACCCTAGGCATACGTATTTGTCTGAACATCCTGGTTCACAAACAATTCCTCAGTAGTGCCAAAGGAGAAATTTGGTAAACTATCACCCATTTTAGGCTAGCATTCCGAGACTCTAATTTTCCTCTTTTCTCCCACCCTATTAATTTCATAAGAGAATGAACCTCTTTCAGGAAATATGATAGTTAATTTTATGTGTCAACTTGCCTGGTCCATGTTCCCTAGATATGGGGCCCACCCTGCAGATTTTGGGCTTGCCAGCCTCTATAGCCATGTGACCAGCTCATTAAAATATAGACCAATAGATAGATATAAGTCGACACAAAGATTGAAAATAGACATTGATTTTAGGTGTATGTGTAAATACTGTTGGTTCTGTTTCTTGAACATTCCTGACTAATAGAGAGGATTCCCTGAAACTGATGAGGTTGGTATTTAGAAAAGAGAAGTTAAGAATTCAGTACCTTGAACATAGCTTTCCCAAATTAGACACTGACTAAATCTGACATGCAAAAGCTATCTTTGCAATTAAATAAAAAACTGAGGAGTACCCTTTGTCTTCTCAGAGTCCAACCATTTTTCCTTGACATGACCAATCCACTTTGGCACAAGAACTGGTCTGATTTTTGTGGCTTCGGGAAAAGAGGCAATGGAAAAAGCAGAGGCTGGCAGTACAGTACAGAAACAAGCTTATGTTGGCCCTCCCTGGTGATTCAGTGGGTTAAAGTGCAGCACTATGAAGCTGTTGGCAGCCACTGCAGCACGAGTTTGATCCCCAGTCTTGCCCACTACTCTCCTCAGCAATGTATTTCAGTCTATCTGCCTGTTCTCCCTACTCTGTCTCTGGTGAATCCTCTCATCCACACACCTGTGGCCTGTACCCCAGTTTTTGTATGCATACATAAATAAATCTTTTTTTTTCTTTAAAGATTTACTTATTTGTGCATACAGAACTGGGGTACAGGCCAGAGGCTCAGGGGCAGCGAGAGGCTTCACCAGAGACAGAGTGGGGAACAGAACAGGCAGATTGACGAAGTACACTGCTGAGGGGAGCAGCGGGTGGGTCAGGAGAGGTCTGCCACACCATGTGGTCACCTCCGGGGCAGGCGGGAATCGAACTCATGCAGAAGCGGCTTTAGATTCTCAGTGCAGTGCTTTAACCCGCTGCGCCACCAGGGAGGGCCAATCTTTTTAAAAAATAAAATAAAATGGCAGATGAAAAATTCCCCCCCCAAAAGAAACTAGCTTATGTTAGTAAAGGCCTTGATTTTATTGCTAAAGATTAATAGTTTAGATTAATAGTTGAATATGTGAACAAAATGATTAAGATGTCAAGAAACAGGATTGATCTGATCATTGACTCGTTAATAAATTACATGGAGAATGACCTCTTGAAACAAAATCTGGGAGGAAGAGAGGATGGGATATATTAGGGCCTAGAACAAATTTACTCTTATGTACAGGCAATAAAGATATCTGCTTATAGAATAATTTTATTTATGCATACAAGAACTGGTGTAGGCCAGATGTGCAGGGGTTAGAGGATTTACCAGAGATACAGTGGGGAGCAGAGCAGACAAGTCTATTGAAATATACTGCTGAGGGGAGCAGTGGGCCAGATAAGAGAGGTCTGCTGCATTGTGTGTGAGCTCCTTGGCTGAGTATCCAACTCCCGCCACAGTGGTTGGTGTTAGCTTCACAGGACTGAGACTTAACCTCTGTGCCACCAGGGAGCCCTAGCTATGTGGTTATAAAGAGAGTTGAGAGCCATGATTTGGAAAATTGGAAGCCAAAATAAAAAACCACCACTGCTGCTGTTACAAATCACAGCTGATTCTTGGTGTATGAAGCTGGTGGCAAGTCTACGCAACTCACTTGCTAGGAAGAAAAGGCAAAATGTGGCTGGAAGATGTCACATTTGCCCATTACATTTTGAAGAGTTGATTCTAGTTGAAGGAAACTATTTTCTCTCCAGAATCATGATGGTGAGAGTATAGAATGTGAATTTTTTGATTTTCCAACTTTTCAAACAAGAAAGAAAATTAAATGAATACTGAATGGGCCACACCCAAATGTCTAGCTCAGTGGTGTATATTCAGGTAAGGGAATAGCCAGGTGATGGAATGTAGACCAAACATTTAAAGAAAAATCACTTTCTTATAAGCTTCCAAAAAATAGGTGTGGAAACACTTCCAAAATCAATTTTTGAGGTCACTACCTTGAAAATGACAAACAAGAAAAAAAAGAACCCTAGATATTAACATTCCAATCAACATAGAAACAAAAATTCCCAAGAATTACATACTAGCAAAATACACCCAGCAGCACATAAAAAGATTGTACAGTTTGATGAAGTGGTATTTTTCTCAGGAATGTAGGGTTAAATGATCACATAAAAATCAGTGTGTTGTACCACATTAATTGAATAAAAGGAGAAACCACATGATTATCACAATAGTCACCAGAAGTCACTTATCACAAGAAGATGAAAAAATTTAATATAATTTCATGATTAAAAAATGCTTAATACACCAAATAGGGGAACTTTCTCAACCTGAAAAGGGCATCTACCAAAAGCCCACAACTAATATCATATTTGATGATAAGACTGAAAATTTTCCCCTAAAATAAAAAACAAGGCAAGGCTGCTCACCTTCACAACTTCAATAATGGAACGGCTGTTTGAAACAACATGAAAAGTTCAGGCAAGCTCAAGAGATGCAATAAAAACATTTGAAAAAATTCAGCACCCTTTTTATCATAGACAAGAACTTCCGGGGTTCTCCCTAGTGGTGCAGCAGGTTAAAGTGCAGCACTATGAAGCTATCTTCAGCCACTGCACCATGAGTGACCCACATGGCTTGACAGACCTCTCCTGTCTTGCCCATTGCTCCCCTCAGCAGTGTATTTCATTATATCTGCTGGGTCTGCTACCTACCCTGTCTCTGGTGAATCCTCTCACCTCCCCACAACTCTGGCCTGTACCCAACTTCTTGTATGTATAAGAAAATAAATCTGAAAAAAAAAAGAAGCTATTTTCCTGAGAAAGATGATATATAAAAATACCCAGAACTAACGTCATATATAAAGACTGACCATTTTCCCTCTGATGGGTTAGTCTCTCCAAAAGGGTCAGATAGGCTTTTCTCAATATGCCCAGAACAGGACTCTTGTTATCTTAGTAGGGGAAATACAGTCAGCCAAGGCCCTGTGAGTCTTAGGATGTCCACGACCATTATTCAAAGAATGCCAATTATTCGGGGTTGAGAGCAGCGAAGGTCCTGAAGCCTAGAGGAATGTTCAGTCATTGCTTATATCTTTTGCCCTTCCCTAAACGAAGAAGAAATCATTACTTCCTAAGCCTTTGTCCCTTTTCCTAATCAATTGACAATAATTGCTTCCCCATTAATGACCTGGAAGAATGTAGTTTGGGAGTCTCATCCAGCTCTAGGCTTGTCAGTAATCATGTTCTTTCTAAGAATCTTGTCGTGCCTCAGTAAGGATGAGGTAACCCCCTCCATGCTTGTCATATGAAATCTCCTCCTCTCTGTCCTTGAAGCCCCAGGTCCTAAAACACAGGTTAATATTCTTGGTCCACTCCATTACACTTTAGAATTTACAACCCTGGGCCCTTCATGGTGGCACAATGGGTTAAAGTGAAGCACTATGAAACTATCCACAGCCCCAGAAGCATGAGTTTGAGCCCCAGCCAGGGAGGTGACGGACATGGCGTGGCAGACCTCTCCTCTGGCAGACCCGCCTGCTTCTCCCCTCTATAAGTATGCGATTATATTAATCAGTTTTCTTTAGCTACTCCACCTGATGCTGTTTCGATTATTTGGCCAGCTCGAGAAGAACAGAGAGGGTACATGATAATTTATTTTGTGCATCCAAATCCCTAAGAGGCCCTCCCTGGTGGAACAAGAGGTTAAAGCACACCATTATGAAGCTATTGGCAGCCACTGCAGCACAAGTTTGATCCCCAGCCAGGGAGCTGACCCAAGTGACACAGCAGTCTTCTCCTGTCCCACCTGCTGCTCCCCTCAGCAGTGTATTTCAATCTGCCTGTTCTGTTCCCTACTCTGTCTCTGGTGAATCCTCTCACCCACACACCCCCACCTCTGGCCTGCACCCAGTTCTGGTATGCATAAATAAAAAAAAACTTAAAAAAAAAAACAGCCCTAATATCAGGAATAAGACAAGGATACTAACTTCTCAGCACTTCAAGATTATTTGAGTTATACCATACACATATACCCTCAATGTGTAAAATGTATTTCTTCATACTGCAATTAAAACTATTGAAAATCAATGCTTTAAGCTCTGACTATGGGCACAGCAGTTCTCTCCTTTCACCTGCTGCTTCTCTTAGTGGTGTATTTCAATAAACCTGCCTTTTCTGTTCTACAATAAATAAGTAAATAAACTCTTTTTTTAAACAAAAACATAAAATTAAGGAATAATTAAAACATAATAGTATTACCTATTAAAGGTTAACTTAATAAGCATATATCAAATTTTGAGCCACAGACATAATTTTTTTGCCTTTTGATAACATTTATACAGTGTCCTTTATGGTTTAGGAAAAAAACTCATTTCTTTACATTAAATGTAGCAACTGCTTATGCTATCTGGCTTTAAACTTTTGTAAGTTTTGGGAAATATTTTTGTATTTGCACTTATGAACACAGTTGCACATTGCAATCAAGTCATATTAAGACCAAAACCCAACAGGCACAGTCACAGTTCTCCCCCATCCTTCACCCCTCTCCACCAGCCCCCCAACTCAGGGGCTTTCCTTCTCTCTGGGAAGAAAGGAATGATCATCAAAGGCAAGAGCAACACCTAGAGCGGGTTTCCTGCTGGGCATAACCCTGTACCCGCGTCTGCTTTCACTACACTTAGGTCACTCTTTCAACAAATACATTTGTACTGGTTGCCTGAAAAATTCACGTGTAAAACATGAAGCTAATTAATAACTTAAAGGGAAATGCCTGTTTGAAGCTGTAACTCCCAGAACAAATTCAATAATGTAAACCAACTTTACCTCAATAAAGATAATAGGAAAAAAAGAGAAAAATATTTATTTTGGAGTTTTTAAATTACATATCCTAATCATCTCAAAAGATATAAAACTAGAGGAAATGAGAAGAGAAAAAATCATAACCCTATAACTCCAAAATAGCTACACTTGATATTTTGGTGTCTAGTTTTTCATATTTATTTCTAAATCTACATAAATGTACATGTCCATAAATCCTTATGAGGCTTAAATAAGAAATAAACAATTTGGAAAACAACAGAGAAAATCTGCCCAATATTTAAAATATGGTTTTAAAAATTATTTCCCAAGTAATAACAAGTTCTTCATACTGAATGCTTCAATCGTATTATGTTTTATAACTTAAAATCATCTTGAAAACTAGCTACGTTGAAAAGTAAATAGGCTAAATTGTGTGTAAATCTCACTGTGGGCTTTCACAACTGTTTTTCTGCCTTACATGTCTCATATCTCTATGGAATATATATATATATTTTAAACAAAAAAAATGGGTTAATCTAATTTGTTATAATGTTTGTTTTGTTTACTGGATTAGATACATCTCACAGTTTTCTTAGGTCCTGAGTGCTTATATAAAAACTGATCATCTATTAGACCTCAAAGAAAGTCTAAGTTTTGATTTTAAGAAGATCTACTGGGTATATTTTCCAAACAGAAAGGGATTCAAACTCAAACTTAACGACCTAATTGGTTATTTATTTAAAAACAAAAACAAAAGGGGGGAGGGGCAACCTCTGCTCAGTCAGTCACCCTTTTTTTACTTTAAACTGTCTGAGGAAAGTCAAGGCAGGAGGACAGTTGGGCTGGGCGCTTGTGACGCAAGCCTAGGGCCGTGTGCAACCCTTTTGTGACGTCTCTGGTCTCTGGGGCCTGTGGAGAGAAACAGCCACATCTTTCGAAGCCGCCCAAAGGCGAGCACAATCCATCAAGTCCTCCTGGGCAGAGGTGAGCCTGCTCACCTGAAGATCTTACCCCAGCCATGAGCACTAAAGAATGCTTCAAATGTGGACGCTCTGGCCACTGGGCTCGGGTTTGCCCCAGAGGAGGCGGTCGAGGACGCGGAACCAGAGGCCGTGGCAGAGGGTTTCAGACTTGTTCCACCGCCCTTTCCAACATCTGTTACCGCTGCGGTGAGTCTGGTCATCATGTTAAGAACTGCGACCTCCTCGAGGACATCTGCTACAACTGTGGGAGAAGTGGCCACATCGCCAAAGACTGCATGGAGCCCAGGCGGGAGAGAGAGCAGTGCTGTTACACTTGCGGCAGACCAGGTCATCTGGCGCGTGACTGTGCTCGTCTGGAAGAGCAAAAGTGCTACTCCTGTGGAGAATATGGCCACATTCAGAAAGACTGCACCCACGTCAAGTGCTATAGGTGTGGCGAGACCGGTCACGTGGCTGTCAACTGCAACAAGACGAGCGAGGTCAACTGCTACCGCTGTGGGGAGGCCGGCCATCTAGCCCGAGAATGCCCCATTGAGGCTACTGCTTAATTTTTCCCGTTGGTTCCCCCCTCCGTTTGTTGATTGATTATTTGATTATTTCCTCGAAAACCTCTTCACTGACAAAAGGTTCATAGATGGAAGCAGCTCCTAGGCCAGAGATCTGCAATTACCATGTGGAAAGAAGAATGGACCAGGAAAAAAACTCAAAAACAGTTACTCACTGGTAGATATCTTACAACGCAGGTTTTACTCCATCACTGTGAAATTCCATTATTGGACAATCATTATGAACATTAGCCAACTTCTAGGTTCTTTGGACAAATTTTGATTGGACTTTTAATTAAAAGCCATTGTGTGCCAGCCACTATCGGAGAAGTAAAGTGTGATCAACGAACAAACCAGCCCAAGTATGGAAATACAGGCCTAGAACCTACTAACAAGTAAAATATATATTGTCATGTGAAGATTAACTGTGGGGGGACATGCGGTTCTGTCTTACATGCACAAAGTACCCTGAGGAGGTAACATTTCCTCAGAGATCCATAGACCAAATAAAGCTGATTCTAAAAATATCAAACCTGCTAAAGTATCTTTATTGTTTGCTTTGAGTGAATCATTATTTTTTAAATAGCACTGAAGTATATCTCCCTCTAGTTCTACATAGGGTGTATACTTTCATGAAAATAAACCAGAAAAAAAGATGGCTTCCTTTTCCCTGGGGAGAGGGAGGGGAAGGGAAAGGAGGAGGAAGAGAGGGAGGGGGGAACGGTAACCAAAAAAAAAAAAAAAGCAAACTTAGCAGCAAACTGTTTGCCATATGCCATGCTGGAGTCCATTTTTAAGAATCCGAAGTGAAAAATAACTGAAATTACATATAGTAAAGGTACTTTTATTTGTTTAAGATTTACTTTACTTATGTATACAGAACTGGAGTACAGGCCAGAGGTGCATAGGCAGTGAGAGGATTCACCAGAGACAGAATGGGGAGCAGAATAGGCAGAGTGATTAAATACATTGCTGGGGGGAGCCAGAAGTGGGGGTGAGGCAGGGGAATGAGAGGATCCACCAGAGACAGAGTGGGGAGCAGAACAGGTAGATGGACTGAAACACACTGCTGAGGGGAGCAGCATGCTGAACAAGAGATGCCTCCATGGGTCACGTCCCTGGTTAGGGATCAAACTCTTGCTGCAGTGGCAGATAATACCTTGATAGCACAATGTCTTTAATCCCTGTGCCATTAGGGAGGCCTAGAAAAGTTACTTTAAAAAAATAAAGATTTATTTATGCATATAAGACCTGGGGTGCAGGTCAGAGGTGTAGGGGGTGAGAGGCCACCAGAGAAAGAGTGGGGAGCAGAACAGGCAGATTGACCAAAATCCACTCTGAGGGGAGCAGCAGGTTATACAAGAGAGTTTTGCTGCACTATGTGGGTTAGCTCCCTGGCAGGGGATCACAGGATACAACTGGTGCTGCAGTGGCTGTGGTTAATTTCATAGTGCCAGGACTTAACCCCTTGTGTCACCAGAGAGGCCCCAAAATGTTACTTTGAAATTAGAAATAAAGCCAGCATGGGGCATGTAACCATTGCATTAAGAAAAAAAATTAAAATTGTAATGAAAAATGGTTTAGAAAATAGCAATAATGATAATATTGTGCATGAACCCTAGGACATGCTATAATTTATAGCAGAAAATAAAGTGCAGAAAGTACAACTTTTTATTTATAAACTGGGATGGTTAAAGAAATGTAACATGGGGCCCTCCTTCCTTGTGGCACAACAAGTTAAAGCACAGCACTATGAAGTTAGCCTCAGACGCTTCAGCACAAGTTCAATTCCCTGCCAGGATGATGACCTATATGGTGCAGCAGACCCCTCCTATCTCATCCACTGCTCCCCTCAGCAATGTACTTTGTCAGTCTGCCTGTTCTGTTCCAATCGTCTCTGGTGAATCCTCTCACTGCCCCTGCACCTCTGGCTGTACCCCAGTTCTGTATGCATAAATAAATAAATAAATCTTAAAGAAAAAGAAATGTAACAAAATTAAGTCCACTTTCTTGTATGAACTTTCATAAGACATGATATATAACCCTTCATTCCTACCTTTGCTTCAGTTGAATTTTTTAAAAAAGATTTATTTATTGATGCATACAGAACTGGGGTACAGGCCAAAAGAGCAGGAGAGGTGAGAGGATTCACCAGAGACAAAGTAGAGAGCAGAACAGGCAGCTTGTTAAAGTACACTGCTGAGGGGAGCAGCGGGCCGGTCAGGAGAGGTCTGCCACACCATGTGTATCACCTCCGGGGCAGGTGGAAATCGAACTCATGTGGAATGGAACTCATGTGGAAGTGGCTTTAGCTTCTTAGTGCTGTGCTTTTAACCCATGGTGCCACCAGGGAGGGCCCTGCTTTAGTTGAATTTTGACGCCATAAACCTTTTGGGCTTGTGGAAATTCCATTACTCTATGTATTGTCTCAACAAAATAAACTCAAGTACACTACCAGCCACTAACGGCAAATCTCAGTCCCACCTGCCTAGACACAATATGAAGCTACTATATTACACTGGGCCAAACAAATTCTGAAGTCTCATCATAGTGCTGTATTTCATTTAAGAAAGGAAGAACACAAAGCACTCCTTTAGAATCTCCACAATCTGGTCCTTTTCTCATGCCCCCAGGAATTTAACCCTGAGTTAGATGGGGGAAAAGATACCATGTCCCTTTATTAAGAACACACTCAGCATGTAAGTCCTCTTTGGGGTACTTCTAGCCAAACTTTTCTAGTCTCAGAGAGGAAAGGGAGCCTTATTTTCATTCATCAGTATCCTTGTACCAATAGTTAGAAAGTGGCAGTTCTCTCACTGAATAGGGTCCACAAATAAGTTTAGTTTCACCTACACATATTCATGAACTAAAGAGCCGCATTTAAAAATCTGAACATTTCTCACAGAAATTATTATTTTTTTATTTCTCTAGAACAAAAACAAAGATCATGAAACATGGCCCTCGCTGGTGGCACAATGGGTTAAAGTGCAGCACTAGGAAGCTCTCTTAGCTACTGCAACACCAGCCAGGGAGGTAACCCACATGGTGCAGCAGACATCTATTGTCTCACTAGCTGCTTTCCATAAGCAGTATATTTCAGTAGATTTGCATGTTCTGCTCCCGACTGTCTCTGGTGAATCCTCTCAACTCCTGCACCTCTGGACTGTACCCCAGCTCTTGTATGCATAAATAAATAAATATTTTTTTTTAAAGATTTATTTATTTGTGCATACAGAACTGGGGTGCAGGCCAGAGGCTCAGGGGCAGTGAGAGGCTTCACCAGAGACAGAGTGGGGAGCAGAACAGGCAGATAGACGAAGTACACTGCTGAGGGGAGCAGCAGGCGGGTCAGGAGAGGTCTGCCGCGCCATGTGGTCACCTCCGGGGCAGGCGGGAATCGAACTCATGCAGAAGTGGCTTAAGCTTCTTAGTGCTGTGTTTTAACCCACTGCACCACCAGGGAGGGACCTGTTTTGTGATTTTTTAAAAATATTTATTTATTGGCCCTCCCTGGTGGCGCAGCGGGTTAAAGCACAGCACTGAGAAGCTGAAGCCACTTCCGCATGAGTTCGATTCCCGCCTGCCCCGGAGGAGATCCACATGGCTGGCAGACCTCTCCTGACAGGCCCGCTGTTCCCCTCAGCAGTGTACTTCGTCGATCTGCCTGTTCTGCTCCCCGCTCTGTCTCTGGTGAATCCTCTCACCCTCCCCATCTCTGGCCTGTACTCCAGTTCTATATGAATAAGTAAACAAATCTTTAGAAAAGACCTCTGTATAGGGTTAATGAGGTTTCTGCTTCCAAGTAGATGGACGATGTATTTTTACCTATTCTTTCCTTTCAATAAAGCTATGATCTTTATATATTAAACATAAAAAACTCTGAAGGGTAAAGACAAGCCAGATGGGCAAAGGGACTTTGGACCAAGGGAACTAATTGGTAGAGAATTCTTTTTCCCTTATAGATCCCAGATTTGAAGCAAAAGCCAGCAACCCAGAAATTTTATTCAGCACAGACATCAAAAAACAAACAAAGACCCCCACAAAAGCCTACTCTCCAGGCACTGCCAAAGGGCTCAGAATTGAGGGGCAAACGCTATGGTAGGGCATGGTCCCCTTTGACTCTAGCTTTTGGGGCACTGTGCCAGAGGAACACTGTTAGGAGAGAGTCCCAAGGGTGGACTGTGACCAGGACAGACTTCAGCAGGACTGACATGGAGAATTTTCATATTACATGGAACAGGAGGTGGGTGGAGAGCAGGTTGTGGTCTGGAGTAGGAGTCACCAGGAGCGGGGCAGTCAGTGAAACCACAGCTCTGGGGAGGTGAGAATGGAGGTGTGTGACAGCACCCTACAATGAAACAGGGCAAACCTTGTGGTGGAGCTGGGGTGCTACACATGGGGAGGGACCCCAGTAAAGATAATAGCAGAGCAGGCATCCTGACCTGCAGTGACCCTCCCACTCCCTGGAACTGGTACCTACCTGTGAAAGGCACTGAGGACACAGGGACTGCTGAGTCTTTCATCAAAAACCTCAGAAAGGAAGAATACTGGGGTGCCACAAACACAAAGCAACCTCACCCTAATTAATCCATGCCAACATCTGGGTCCCCCTTAAGTCCGTCCCCCATCCTGATGATTCAGCAATTACAAAACAGACCTCAATACATACAGAAGCAAGCAAGGACAAAAGAACTAAAATTGGACAAAATCATAGCATCGTCTGTGAGAAAAGTAATATAGTTTAATCCTGAGTCACTGCTGCTAAAGGTTATAAAAATGACAATAAAATAGAACTTTCTAGAATGAAAACACAAAAAGGTGGAAAATTTTATCTCCTTATTGGATATAGAGCTCATAAATACTAAAATAAAGATATGCAAAGAGATGCAAGAAAACTCAGAAAGGCAAGTCAAAGAAATACAACAGAACTCAGTAAAGCAAATTAAGCAAAATTCATGAAAACAAAGTAATGAGGTCAGAAATAGAATCAATGCATGGCAGGT